ATAAATACTGCATGGTGCGGCGGCCCGAGGCGCACACAATATATGTGTGTTATACGGGCTTATCAAATTATGAATATATTGAGATGTGTCGCAACGGCGGCGGCACACGGCAGCGGCGGGACTATAATATTATTTTGGTGCGGTAATTCTCGTAGCACATTTCCGGCGGTGGCCTCAGTGTTGCCAGACGTACGAGAATTCTCGTATTCGTACGAGAATTGAAGGCAGACGTACGAGGTACGAGGACACTCCACTCTCGTACGCCAAAAATACGAGAATTCAATCATTTAAATAATAAAATATTAATATGTATTAATCTATTAATATAACTGTTACAAATCAATTATCAATATATTATTTTAATTTTGGTTTATTTAAAATTAAAAAAAAAAAAAACATTTTAATAAAAATATTCTTATCTATCTCAGTGTAAACATAATATGTAGAATGATCTATGATACACTGATACTAGGTTATTTTGTTGATAACATGGTTAGAGATATGCACTAATTGATAAACCTTAATAAAAACTACACKGTTAGAAATTCAAATGCATGAACYAAGGTCTATGATAATAATTTACAGTGATARTAAAATGAAAATCAGAAATTCGTTTCGTAGTTTTCGTACTTTCGTAGTACGACGTACGTAGTAATGTAGTATGTAATATGTTTATGTTTATATTATAAACTTATAGATATTTATTATTCGTTAATTGTTATATATTTTGTTATTGTTTTTGTTAATATTTAAATATGCACGAGACTAGTGAAAGTGAAGACGATACACATTATGCAGGTACTTCAAAGACAAAAAAAAAGAAKCAAACCCATWGAGCTCAAAAATTTAGAGATGAGTGGTTAAATATCTCAGAATTAAAAACATGGTTGCTTCCAGTTGAAAATGATCCTTTTAAAGCCAAATGTAAAGTATGTAATATTATAATGGTTGGTGAATTGACAAACATAAAAATGCACGGTAAAGGTATAAAGCATTTGCAAAATTGCAAACAATCGAAGAGACCTATTTCAACGTTCTTCAAAACAGCACCAACCAATTTGAATTCTGATGTTTCTAAAGCAGAAATTAAACTGTCCGCTTTCATAGCAGAACATAATGTTTCATTTATGGCAATGGATCATTTGTCTGATCTTCTTAAAGATATATTTCCAGATTCTAAAATTGCAAAAGAAATAAATCTTAAAAGAACAAAAACCACAGCAATTATAAAGAACGTAATTGGAGCTTCACATAAAGATGATCTAGCTAAACAATTGATGAAAAGTAAATTTAGCATTCTAACYGATGAATCCACAGACATCGGTACAGTGAAAACATCTTGTGTGGTAGTGAGGTAAAATATAAACAATTCAAAATAATAGACAAATAATTTAGTATTTAAATAACTTTAAATGTACTAATTTCAGATTTTATGACGAAGCAACAAAACACGTGGAGTCAAAATTTTGGGAATTGCATGATGTGTTTGATATCCCAATTGACAAACAACCAGCAGCGACAGCTGAACATTTATTTAATTGCCTGATAGAAACATTGAATCGTTATAGGATTCCACTACACAATATAATCGGYTTCGGCTCCGATGGTTGCAATGTAATGATGGGCTCTAAGAATTCAGTGGCAACTAGATTTCGTCAGATGTGTCCAGGTATTTTTGTACTAAAATGTATATGCCATAGTGCACATTTATGTGCATYAGAAGCATGTAAAAAAATACCAAGATCATGTGAGGATATGGCTCGGAATATCTTTAACTTTTTACACAGCAGTGCTAAACGGCAAAGTAGTTTGAAACAGTTCCAATTGTTCATGGATCTTWAACCAAAAAAAAWTCTACACCCTTCACAGACAAGATGGCTTTCCTTAGAAGCTGTAGTGAATAGAATTTTGGAACAATGGGAAGCCTTGAGGCTGTATTTCAATGATACATATTTAGACCAAAAACTCCTTTCGACAGAACAGATTTATAATTCTTTAAATGATAGATTCATAAAATTGTATTTCTTATTTTTATCATGGATACTACCCAAATTCAATGAGTTTAATAAATATTTCCAATCTCAAAAAGTTGTCATTAATGATCTGCATGATAAAATTCGAATTTTATATCAAGAAATCTTACTATCGTTTTTAAAAAGAAACTATGTAGTGCAAAATGATCTCAGTAGTGTGAGACCTGACAATGGTGAACACCATCTTCCTGATAATCAGTTATATTTAGGTGCTCAGGTTCTCAAATGCATAAATGTACCTGAATTAGCAAACAAGAATGAAGAGAAAAAACACTTTTTCAAGAGTTGTAGACATTTTTTGCAAACCGCTGCTTTAGAGCTAAAGAAACGTTATAACATGGACGATCCAGTGTTGAGTAAGCTGTCATCATTGAGTGCAAAAAATGCCCTATCCATTGAGTACCATGATTTGCACCCAACTCTTGTTYCATTAATATCATTGATGACAAGAATAGTGCCAGAAAACAATGTAGAATTAATTCAAAAAATAGATGACCAGTGGCGTAGTCTTCCATTAAAAATGATGCACATGCCTGACTCCATTACTGATTTACAATATGCCAATGGATCACCTGATATATTTTGGTAATAAAT